CGGCAATTTGAAACTTTCTAATTAATATTTAATAATTTATCACAATTTTATATTTATCAAATCTTAACCATAATTCTTTCAAATCTAACAAACTAAAATTTTCAAAATGTAACATTAATCTCTCCAAAATGAAAAAAATCTATTAAAATCATAACTTTCATCTTAACTAAAAAAATTAAAAAATAAACATAAGAAATATACTCATGGTATTTTATTACTAAATATATTGAATTAAAGATTTTTATATTTTTTGTAGTATGGTTTTTGATGTTCTTATAATTATATAATGTGTTTTTTTTTTTGCAACAGAGTGTTCTTCTCATTAACTTAAAACGGTGTTCTTACAAGAGTGCAAAGCACGATAATTAAGAACATTACAACTTAAAGCATAAAAACTAGGATAATTATACGACTGCGAATCAAGACCAATTTTTTGATGCGTATGTATAGAGCTCACGGCTAAACCGGAAAGCATAGAGGTAGTTACTTTGTATCGTGACTTTGAAATGTTAGCCATCCCGCTGAGTTTCGTCACAACGATCTCAATTGCATCTTTAGCTCCAGTATCGCTCGTTACACAAGAGTACAAAACGGTTAGAGAAAATCTCGTTTTTGATTCCCAGAGGGTTCTTACTCTCAAAGAGAGAAGAAATTGTAATTGAGCTCTCTCCCATAGGAAGGATGATACAAGATTTGAAAATCCAGAAAACTGTAAACTTCTCGCAACAGAAGAGATATCAAGATAAATAAAAACTACATGATTTGAGAATCGAGAAAACTGTAATCGTCTCCAAAGAGGAAAGATATCAAGCTCGATCAAATTAATGAAGTTGAGTGCTGAGCCCGAGAAAAGGCCCAAGAAAAATTCAAGGACCATGCCTATCCAATGGCAGAGCCATACAAGGCCCTTAGCTGCAAAACCCAATCCAGGCCCATCAGGGACACAAAATCGCACTGGCTTTGGACTGACGGATCTTTGCCGGTTGGTATGTTTCTGGCTCCGATCACCAACCATTAATAATAGGTAGCAGGATGGGGATGTAAATGGAGGGGTTTGCTGATGCCGGTGGTATCGCCACACGGAGCTGAGCGAGCCTTGTTACTCCTTTCAGGTTCGGCGATGATGGTGGTCTCAAAGATGAGATTCATGGAGCATGTAGAGAAGCCATGGAAGAGAGAGAAAGTAGCTAATCTTGTCGAGGTCAAAGCTGGTCGGCAGAGAGAGAAGATTCTCAGGGGAAGCGCAGGCAGACAAACGGCGGTGAAGAGAAAGCCATCTTTGTTCAGAAAATTTCGGCGGCAGCCACCTTGGTAGTCGGCCTGAGAGGTTTTGCTAGGGCGAACGTTGTTTTTTTCTTC